CCCCCCCCCCCTCCCGTCGCGCACCACTAAATGTCCTCTACTATCCCTACATTATCCCTACAATCTTATATATGCTAGAAAGTATAGATCGAGATATTTTAATATTAATTTAATTCAAAAATGAAATTCTTAGCTCTTTATACGATAGCTATAGTGTATTATAATGGCATTGAAGGTCAGTGACAGTGTCTGAAACCTATAATTATATTGCCGAAGAATTTTAATATAAACGAGTTAGAATTTTAACATAAATAAACAAAGGGCCTACATATTGGGAGTCGTGTAAAGTTGCTTTTGATAGGTTTGAAAGTATTCATGGTTTGCTGTAGACAGTTCGTTGATACTGACTAGACAAAGATACAAGTTCAATATTGGAGTAACAGCCATAAGTGTAGTAAACAAGAAAGCAAATAAACACTTCCTTAGCACGCCGTAAAAATATTTCGTTTTCCTAAAAAAATTATAGACCAACCTCGTATATACCCAGTGTATTTCCGTATGAGACAACCATTAATTAAAATTAATTAAAAAAATAAATTAAAAATTAACCGAGCATGCGTAGAATGTACATCCTTATTTATAATGAAATGAATATTATAGAATGTTACAGTCGTCGAATTTTTAAATTTTGGTTGGTAGATATTTGAGTGTACGGAAGGCTGAAGAGTGAAGGCCCAAAACAATACGAGACTCTAATACTTTGTGCCTTATTTTTATAAGTCAAAATAAAGGAAAACAAAATGTGCTGATCTACGATGTCATACTCCGATCGTGGTGTGTGTGATAAAGTATCGTAAATTTCTCTAAACTCGACGAATTTCTCGCAATCCCATCTCAAACCAACACTTTTTTCTATACATTTACAAAGTATAAATAGTAACAAAGTTACATTTGTTACATTACACAAAGTTCCAGAACAATGATGTTCCAAATGTTCCAGAACAGAAAATGGAGCAACCTGCTGGCGTTCATAATCCTTTGTATTAAGGCAGGGGTGAGAAATATGATATTGTGCATCCGGGATACAAGCAATCTAACGCAAATGACAGTATTATGTCAAATCACATCAGTTGAAATCATCTCTGTAGCGAATTTGTTGTTCCGATGGATCTTGTTCTAAATTTTGTTGTCAGTTCTTGTTCTTGTTCTTGCGCATAAATATATCATTCCTTTTTATCATACTCCCAATCACAACTCTATCTTTGATCCTATTGTTGGCAAAACATTAGGATGTAACACAGGATCTGTGCAACAAAATACATTCTAATATTTTAATCATATCTGCTATAACATAGATTAGCTTACACTGCACATTGACATTGTGCAACAACTTGGGTTTTAAACTAAAAGACAATATTATTGTATTGTATAATGTTTGATCCTGATGAATTGCGCAGTTGAAGATATATCTGGGCATCGGCGCATCGCAATTTATATTTTATATTTAGATTTGTTTTGATCTATATATCTCAGCCCTGATAAGTATATCACAATTGTCCGGTAGTCAAACTACTTGCTCTACCTCAAATTAAACAGCACTGACATTTAAATTAAATGCTGACTGGTCGTCAACACCCTTCGTATCGTGTGGATGAGCACTGGTGCGGAGTGTTTGTAGAGGTTGATAAAAGTTTTCAGGTTCTTTGTGGTCTGTCAAAGATATGTACGCGGACGTTTCCTCTTCTGTAGAAATCTTATGTTTAGATTCAGCCTCATATCTTTCAATACTTTCTATCACATCGTCAGGAGTTTCATATATGGTGTCGTCATTCACGTAAGAAACTCTCTCGGCAGTCAGTTCGATGACCTCCATCGATTTTTTGCTATTTAGAGGTACTGGAGTGGAATCTACAATATTTACACAATGCAGGTGAACGTTTGATGCTAGCTATAGTGGAACTGTGCAACGATTTATATTTTTTTACCATTTTATCCATACCCGGCCATTAACCATATACATTTAGATACATTATTGAAACATGGGTAAAAAATTCACTTTTTGTTTGACTCTGCCAAACACCTCAGACTTTTCTCGTAATACCTGACCAAATAAGGAAGACTTGACTGCACCTCCAGGTTTCCTCCTACATGCCGTAACACAGAATCAACACAGGATGCTTCTTACTGGGCCATTATACGGAGAATGCAATTGTGAATTGCTATAAATATCCAATAAAAACAAGCTATATGAAGTCAATTTGGTTACCTAATGTAAAAGATTATATACGTACCGGATGTCCCTGTTTGGTCAGCTTGTCTTGATGTCAGTTTATGACTCTCCTTTCTATTATTATTTTGAAGGCGACGACGTTGGTATACGTTCACAGCAAGTGAGAGGAGCAAACATAAGGCCAAAATAACCGGAGGTATTATGACATCCAGGCAGGTGTTGGTGTTCGCAGACAATTGTTCTGAAAAATCACTCATAAGTTTGCATGACGATAAGTAGAAGTAGTTTGGCTTGTGAAAAAGAAAACTCTTTTATTTAGTTCTGAAGGTTTTAATTGATCTGGAAGGGTTGGTCGAGATCCTGACTTATATATGGGATAAAAGCTCTGCGAAATACATTAGTAAACGTAATGATTTCTAAGAAGCAAATCCAAACTATTATACAACAATTGTTTAAGATACAATAATGGGTTAAAATATTTTCCGGATGATCATCTAGTTGACATGAATTAGTTTAATTAATAAATATGCTGAAAGTTGTACTATAGGTCGTGATGTACTAACTCCTGTAGTGAAACTAGATAACCAACTTAGAAAAAGGGATTCATTTACCTGGACGTTTTTTCATAGTTTTGACGCTTTTGCTCCACTCTGTCGAATAGTATGAATCCTAAACGAGAACATAATTGTTAGTGTGCAAATCTTGTCTTTTCATTCAGTACGTGGTATAACTATCTTACCAAATTACTCCGATATCTTATTTATTTACCTGGCTTTCAGAATATCTTAGGAACACGATATAATTTGAATTCTCTTCAAGAGGTTGGTTGATGTACTTTTCTTTTTCAGAGCTATACACCTTCCCATCACCGATCACAAATGTCAAAGGTAGAACTTCAGCTTTCAAATAAGCAGTGATATAAGGATCTTGTGTCTTTGTTTGGTAAGGTTTGAGTTTGCTTGTTTTAATATTTTGACTTGGTGTTTGACCGTTAACTTTTGTGACAATTTGCACAATGACCCCCACTTCCCTAAATCAGCAAATTTCAACATAGAAACAAAAACATAGCAACAAACCAAAGTGCTGTTAGCAGAGGTAATACGACATAATTATTAAACGCAGTACAAATAGTGCAATTGTTACAACTAATTAGGTTAAGAACGAGCTCTAGGCTGAGCCTGCAGAGCCTGCTCAAAAGGTCATGAGAAGGCTATAAAAGCCAAGTTCAGCTTCTCGACAGGATTTCTCTGCATGCTCGAAGCATAAAAGTCCTTAAAGTCAAAAGGTTTATATCCAAGTAAATATGTATAATTTATTTAAATTTTCTTCCCTGTGCAAATTCGTCAGCTAGATCATCTTTTTAAATAAAAAGACTGTCGCTGTTTATTTTTGCCTAGAAAAGATTTGAGAACGTCGCATTATATTGCACTATACATCTATAAACACAGACTCTGTTCAAATACCTTGGCCGTAAATCATGTGAAAAACTTACCTAATATATTCTGCTGGTTTTGGTATATTTAAACTCAAGGTGTAATCGGACGTTGTGAGTGGATTTACTGGCTCTAAAGATAACAAAATTACCAAACACATTAATGGATGCATTGTCACACGTCACAAGACTCAAAGCACTATGACAATGTCCATGCATGTCCATGTCCCTAAACTGGTGAGTACCATTTTACAATAGCCTATTTTGCCGTCTTCAAAAGTATATGTGAGTAACAATTTTCGAGGTTTTACTATATCTATAGAATTTGGATTCTATTATATTCTTTGTGTTTTATTGCGTTGCTTCGTTCTATGGAAACCACAATTTTATTGTCCAAATCATGACTGGTTTGTCCAAACGAGTGCTCTTTGAAATAAATGCCAACTATTATTAAAAAACTCATTTATAATTCATGAAGAAAACCCAAAGAAAAATCATAAGCGTGTCGTGTCCGTATATGTGATACAGATTCATGTTGATTTACAACATTCCAGCCATTACAGCCATTTACAACATTCGCGTCCGTGTTGTATCGGATATACAAACTCTCGCCTTCGGCCGCTCATGTTGTAAATAGTACATACTGACTGAATTACCTCCACTTGTTATTTTACTGACTTCCGAACTTTTTTTTCCATAACCAGCTTTTGTGCTGGCTGAGACCGTCACAAAGTACTTCGTTGAAGGTTGGAGATTGTCGAGTATAAGTGAAAGTACTTTAGTGCTTGTAAGTACTAAGCATTCTCCAGCAGTGTCCCTTGTATAAAAGCAAACTTGATATCCTGTCAGTTCAACGTTCTGTAATCTTTCTTCAGGAGCTTTCCAGGACACTTGTAGCGAGGTTTTACCGCGGGAGTTAAAGGCCACGTTCAATGGAGGTCCACTCAGCCCTACAAAAATATAAAGTTTTTGATAGCTTTTTTATTCAGCATACGTTTCAGTATCACTGACGATGGTTGCTCTTGTACAGTTCAACCTATTACCATACTGTACTGTATAGAACTGTTTTGTCACTGCACTGCTCTGTTGGACTTTACTATAATTCACTACATTGCATGAGCTGTATCAATGTACTAAATGCGTATCAGTAACTAAAGAGAAAAGTTCATAACATCACATGATCTGATGAACTTAACTCTTAATCTCTTATATTTTTAGTCTCATTTTGTACATATAATATATGGATTTGTTAAAGTAATCTTTTCAGGGATCATTTACCTGGTTTTACCATTGTTTTAACAACACTGCTCCATTCTGTCGAGTAGTACGAATCCTAGACGAAAAATACCGTAATTGAAATTTTATCTATGATGGACAGTTTAAGTGCATTACGTAAATCACTTACATGAATGACTATTTATCGTACGTATTTCCTCTATTTAGCTCCCTTGACATAGACCTATAACAAAACTCGAGCACTATTTAATATTTTTATAAAGAATTATGTTTAGGCCATATAAAAAAAATAGTTGGTTAGCGTCCTTAGCTTTTGCCAAAAAGTGGGCGGGCGGGCGCTTTTTTTTAAATTTTTACTAATTTTTAACGCCTTAGTTTTACTCACTGTTAGGTCCGAAACTGGATTTTCTTGCGCAGTACAGATATTTTTTTTATATATTTCAAAATATAATTCATACCGTCATTTTCGCACGCAATTTCGCAAATTATTAACACAATTGACTACAGTCAACAGAAATACTACATATATTAGAGCCCGTTGATCAATAAAAGTCGGGTTTTTTTAAATAAAAAATAAAAAAAATCCTGAGCGGGGCCTTTTTTGTGGGCGGGCGGGGACGCTAACCAACTATTTTTTTTATGTGGCCTTATATCATGCAGAGTAATGTTTTTTGTTTATGTGTTAATCATGTGTTCGAGCTTTTTCTTAGTTTAAAGTTAATCTATTTGTTCCTCATAGTGACTCCAGCACTAAAAGGCCATCTTCAAAAAACCTTGAGTATAAAATAAATAAATGTTACTATCTAAAGTATAACAAACGCAAAAATCTATTTAGCTCTGGCGGCATCTATTTATACGTCCTCTCTCTACTATAAGCCTCCAGGCAAGAACTACTGGAAAATAAGCACCCGGGGCAAATAGAGGAAATACTACGTACAGATTGTACCCGACTTTCAAAAAATCTCAGGAACACAATATAATTTGAATTCTGTTCTAGAAGTTGGTTCAAGTATTTTTCTTTTTCAGAGTTATACTCCTTGCCATCACCGATCACAAACGTCAGAGGTAAAACATCAGCTTTCAAATAAGCAGTGATATAAGGAACATTCATGTTTTCCTGGTAAGGTTTCAGATCACTTTTTCCAATTTCTTCCAAGCCACGATTTTTCGGAGCAACTTGTACGATGATCATTACTTCTCTAAATGCAAAACATGCCATCATTACAGAAACGCATTGTGCCATAATCTGGGTAATCAATATATGTGCTCTTTCATGACACTTACCAAGTTAACGTGACCAGAATGTTTATGTGTTTTTCATTTTTGGCAAATCCCGCCAATTCTTCATGCCACGAGTTATTCATTCTTTTGACTAGTTTTAGCTTTGTACTTTTTCTAAATTTGTCATGTGTTCATGCATATCTGTCCAGTATATTTTTGCTAAAACGTTTATACATTTTATTTCAATCTGTATTAATTTTACTGAATTGAGGTGCACGTGTTTATATATGACTATAATATACTAAACGTCGTTCATTTTTGAATGTTATATTAATCCATCCATTGAACAGCAAAAGTAGATCAGGATTATTCACCACGATTAATGTTATTGTTTAGTGATAATTTCGTAAATTTTCCCTTTGTGTACATGTCTCTTTTCCAGTCTCTTAATTAATGAGTTTATTATAGAGAGATTAAGAACGAGATTGGTTATTTGGACACGCCATATTATTTTTACGCCATGACGCCATCTTCTTACGTACGCATTTTGTACTGACGCATTATAAACCCGTCGTAGCCGTCTCCAAATAGACAACGGGGTTTTTGAAAGTTTCGCAATAAAACAAGCATCTACTAGCCTACAAGATTATGGCGCGCGTACGTAATGGCATAAGGTAACAAGTATGTGCAAACAACGAATCTCATAGTCGTAGTAACATCTAAAGCTATCTAATAATGATCATGCAAGATATACTTACTTGATATACGTCGCAGGTTTGATTATAGTTATATTTAGGCTTGAATAAGACGTTGCGACAGGATTCACACTCTCTAAAAAATCACGAGTAGTATATGCCATTAACTTGATTGAATGTATTACTAAAACATATTGAAGTTTTACATAAATCTATTTCGGCTAGTTAAAATCAATGCCTATGTGCTAAACTCACTCTCCTCAAAGACACATTACATGTACACGTGTCTGCAGGAGACTTGAGGTAGAACAGTTACAAAGCTCTTCCATCAAGCTGGTATAAAGTAATGTTTGTATTATTTGCCTCTTCCAAGCATCTTTCAGTAGAACCATAGTTTTAAAGCTGTTCCACAACTGGTATAAAGTCGTTCTTGGATTGCTTTTACCAAGTTTATTACCAAGCTATCAACTGTTTGTTGAAAATGTCTACACGCCTACCATACCAATCAAGACGTGAAGCAGCAGCATGGAGAATTAGACCGATATATTTTCACTTTGTTAGACACTTTGTTGGTAAACGAAAAGAATTCATGGAATATTTGTGCATGGTTGGTTACAAACAATTTTCAGTCACGAGGTTGCTGTAATAAATTTGCTTCAAACAAACTTAATCTGGTTTGTGTTTACCTCCATTTGTAATTTTACTGATTTCCATACTCTTGGGCCCATAACCAGCACTCGTAGCAGCCGCGACAGTCACAAAATATTTTGTAGCAGGTCGAAGTTTTTTTATCACAGTGGTATTTGACACAGTATTTTTTTGAAAGCAACTTGGATTACTTGAATTTTCTTTGTCAGAATAGCAAACTCTATATGCTGTCAGTTTACCATTCTGTGATTTTCTAGATGGAGCACTCCAGGATACTGTCAGTTGTTCGTTACTGCGGTTTGTGAAAGCCACCGACCCTGGAGCTCCACTAGGTGCTGAAAAAAGAGAAAAAGAAGATGATGTCACTCATTGCTATCAATATACATTTCCAGAACGTTCGTCACTTTGGTTATAGAACTCTGTGTCGTATATGTGACTTTCACGAAAAACGAGCCAGATGAAGTACTTTCTGAAAGCAAGAAGTGTATTGGGAGTCCTTTTGGGGAGATTTTTATGTTTCCGGATTACGGCAAGAATTATAGGTTTAATTTAAATTAGAGAGTACTATTGAGCAGAACGGGGTTTGAGTTAGGTAAGCTTTTGGGGTAAAGTTTAGGATATAGTTGCAAGGAGGCAGTTATTAATGCTTGAACTGAATTCAGGATGACAATATAATAAGGCCCCAAAGTTGGCACCTTCAGTGACCTATGTTATACCCCCTCCATCAGCGAATGTATAATATATCAGCAAGGAAGCGAAGAATAACTTAGGTAAGAAGAGTGTTTTCATATTCCCATGACCAAACCTTTATCTAGCGGATAAAATATATAAAAAATTGTGTCTAAAAAACAAAAATCAAGCTCCAGAGGCTGAGAAATATAAACATTTCCTGGGGATGGACCCCAGATCCACCTACAAGGTCTTTATGTCCCTTTTTCTTCGAAATATTTTTTTCTTTCAAGGAGATGCGGAAACATAGTTGAAAAAAACATTTGTGCACATTGCTATATACACATAGTTAAGATATATTCAGATTTCTTCACCTGATGTATTGGTCATAAATATTATATCTGTGCTGCTACTCCATTGTGAAGAGCCATCTCCAGCCCAAATTCTAACAGTATAGTTAGTGAAGGGTGTCAGTCCAGTAATATTGAATTCAGTTCTAGGTTCCTGTCGACGTATTCTCTTTAGATAGCTTCCGTTGAGTTCAATATGGTAAAGTGTTATGTAACTGGACGTATCAGGCGCTGGATTTCCCATTGTCACTTGTGCCGAGGTGTTTGACGGTGTAATTTTAATATCGTATAGAGAAGCAGGTTTTTGAACTAAGATTGAAAACAACGCAAACGTTAGCAAGGAATTTATCCTGGTGTAAAGACTTACATTCACTACGGGACTAAAATTCGCTTTAAGTAATTGCTCAAGTCACCAAATATTCCTGATGTAGAGAGGGACAAAGGGGCATTTTGTCAACAAACTCCTAGATCAAAAGGGCCGCAAAAGAAACGAAGGCCCTTAGATATAGATTGCTTAACTGAAAATATAAAACCACTCCCGTTTTACAATTATGATGTCATAAGGCCTCATGGGAACGTTTTCCCCGGCCCCTGCGCAACAGTCAAGTTTTTTACACTTATGAAACTTACAGCACTTTAGGGAAAGTTAAAAGGTTATTTGAATACATCAAATTACCTGCTTTGGGACAAAAACGGTAGAAAACAGCAACTAAAGGGAGTTTGGCTAAATTCCCTTTACTTGTGAAGGTTTCTGACTCATTTATACAAATAATTTTTACATGAAACGAAATCTTGATGATAGGGACACCAAATAATCAGTATAATTTTCTCCAAATATTATTTCTAAATTTAAAGAAATGCTTTAAACCTAATCTCCATAATTTGCCATAAGGGACCAGTCATTAAATATGGCAGGGGGGGATGGAGGAGAAACTAGAAATTGTGAAAAAAATTTTGGGGCCCCCCTCAAAAATTATATGCCTTTTCAAGGCCCCCCTTATACATTTTATACTTTTTAAAGACCCCCCCTCCCTCTTGTACCGCTTGAAAATATACAGGGTGTATAAAAAAAAACGCAATCCTCGACTGAAATGTAAATTGCTAAACAAATAATAAACGAAAACGTTAAAGTTTACATTCATTTTAAAGCGTAGCCATTCAGCTTTCTAACAGTGGGTTGTTTCTTAAATTTGACTCATTGGTTCGCGGGTAATAATACTTTACGTTATTGCGATTTGAGATTAAAAAAATTGAGATGGAATAACAAATCGTTCTCATGAAAATAACTGATTTTTTCATTAAAACAAACAAATGTTGCATTTTATTAAATGGATTGTAACAATAAGTATAATTACGGCTTTTCTTCCACTATTTTTAACACAGTTTGAAACTTCAAATGCGATATAATTTTGGCTTGGACCATCTAAGCTGACTGACATCAGCTTGCTATAATTTCTGTTTACATTACATCGTAATTCGATGACACTCTGGCTCAGACACCAGAATGTTTTGATTCTATGATTTTTAGCGTTCGTTTGGGATTTTCAAACAACCTGGTCTCTTTTAAAATACTTTTAATTTGTTCTTACGTGGTTTTCCAGATGTAGTGACGACAACATTAAAGTTTAAAGAAGAAAATTCTAACATTTAAACCGACTAAACAACAACATAGTAGACTTGCATAATTAAACAGCAACTAAAAATGATAGGTTTTACTAAATCTTTTCCTGTGCAATCATTACTAGCATTGGAGACAAGGATAATAGTTTGTTTGAAAGAGAAAAGAACAGGCTTTGAAGTAAACCTAAATGCGTTTAACTAGAAATAGTATTTCGAAAGTTATTAAGCACAAAAAATGAATTGCGTTTATTTTGATACACCCTGTAGTTTTGTATTGATTGCTGGCCCGATTAGGACAAAGCTTAGGAGAGCAAGTGATCAATGAAGTGTATTAAAAGAGGTATAAAATTTGGTGAAACTAGCCAAATAAATATTTTACAATCTATTTAGGTAGGTTACTCTATGGTCTATGCTTGTCTCGCCTACATCCACTTTTATATTATGAGTTTTTTATGCTTTACTCGTTATGTTAATACCCAGTGTTCCAGTTTAATAAAGGGCATTTTATGCATCTCTTTTGGCTGTTCATAGTATATAACGAGAAACAATCCTTTTGTTGGGAAAAATCCGAAGACCCCCTCTCTTTCACATAATATGTAATTTTCAAGAACCCCCCATCTCAATGAAAAAATAATTCAGGACCCCCTACTTTCTCCTCCATCCCCCTTGCCATATTTAATGACCGGTCCCTAAGTTAACAGTTTTAGCCACGCCACCTTTAGTGATTTCAGAAGGAAAACGGTGGTTATTGTCAAGTTGTAAAATGGAGCAAAATGGCTAAGAGAAATAGCAAAGTAAAAGTTTGCTTACGTCTAGTAATTTCGAATGGCTAATTTTCCAATCTAACCAGTAATAACGCATATAGCGAAAATCCTGTTTACACAACCAGTAATAAAAAAAAGCTAACGTACCTTCTCCACAGAGTTCTATTCTGAGACAAAAGTCTGTGTTTCCAGTTGATTGTATCTTTATATATCTAACATTATAAATACCCACGCGTACGTCCGTAGTCGATGCTTCGTGGCCATTCTGGTTTCCTGTTATCTGCAAGATAGTAAGACTTATATAAGCGCATTTAATTTTAAGGTTACAGAGGGTCCTGAAGGGGGGGTCCCAATCCCATTTCCCACCTGAAATTTTGGCAAAATCCCAGTCCCAGTTGGATTTTTATTAGAAATCCCAGTCCGAGTTATTGAAATCCCAGTCAATAAAAAACCCTTTATTTATTGGTAGAATAAACAGTTTTAAAACTTTTTAAACCACTGTGTGTGCAAGTGGCAGACACTTTATGAAATATCGGGGGGCTTGTGCCGAAGGCACAGAAAATTTTAAAATTTGAATCCCAGAAATGGCATTTGCAGTATTCGGAGACACGCATAATCAGAAAACCCAGAATTCCGGGCGCCAGAGTATGCCTGTTCGCAGGTAGTGCTGTGAATAATATAGTTAACAACAAAAATCATGACCCAAAGACACCGAAAACGGATCAAAATTGTATTTTAAAACACTTAAAATGTAGAAAAATTGGGAATCGACTCGCATTACCTCAATCCCATTCCCATTTTTGAGGACTTCATTTCCCATTCCCAGTAACCCAAATCCATTTTCCCAGTCTAAAATTAGATCAATCCCAGTTCCCATTTTACCCCTTCAGGGCCCTCGTTACAGAACACCTTTGAGTGTTAATTTTGCCTAAATTTTTTTTATTGGTTTCAATGAAAGCATTAGACTAGTTCTACTATCTGACCAAGTTTGAACGGAAAATGTTGAAAACTCGCAGAGTTATTTAATAAAATACATTTCGCTGCAATAAGAAAAACATTGGAAATGTAATATTCAAATTCAATTTTCTCCCGAAAAGTTTTACGGTGATTACTGATTTTCAAACGAGTTGTGCTCCTGCGGGTTTTAACCAATTTTTCTCAAATTTTCACAGGGCATAGCTAAAGACGTCAGTTTCAAAATTGTGTTCCGCTTTTTTTTAATTTTGGATATTTTAAAAATAAAGAGCAATTCACTCAAACAATTCAGAAATATATTGCAGTCGTCAAAGAAATCGCCATATCAGCGGAATGACGAAATAAACAAAAATTTCCGAACACAATTTTTTAGAACAACTATTTTACTGTATAAAAATGACATTTTCATAAACATAACTTAAAACCAGCAGGAGCACAACTCAAAAGCGTTACGGTACCACGATTTAAGATTTTCCTGAATAATTCTTACATTATTTTATTGTTTGTTAATTTTACAACTTTACCATATTTTGCATGCACTGGAGAACATTTGGTGAAAATTTGATGAAAATCGGACTGATATTGAGCGCGCAGTAGCGATTTTCCGCAAAACGCCAAAAAGGGTGTCCTGTAACCTTAATAACTATCTAAACTTAAAATTTCAGCTTTTTTCGCCATAAATAATTCGAAACAAAGCAAACCAAAAAGCGCGAAAGTATTCTTATAAATGACTACTTTTAGAATGAAAATCAGCGAAATGGCAATTTTTCTGTGCAATTTCCGGGTGTGGTGGAGAAATTTATTCAGTCCCACTTGCTATTAACGTCTCCCTTTTCCTATCCCTTCACAAGAAAGAAACACATGCATGTAGCCGTTTAGTGAATATGCTAACTAATCTGGAAATTCATGGTTAGTTTTTGCTGGGCCACCTTAAACATGTTTTGGACTAAATTAATAAGCCTGAAGTAAAGGGTTAGATTGAGGTTAAGAATAACGTTAATTGCTATAGATTTATACCTACAATCTTTTCAGGACAGTATTTTATCACAACCATCAATATACATTTTTGTTATTTTCATAGCAAATATATACCTTTATTGCACTGCTCGTATCCAGCAAAGTTTTATCATGACTGTATTTCATTGAATATGACTCACTCCATTTAGTCTGATCTCTATCACCCATAACCGCAACCCGTGTTATGTGATATTCTTTTTGAAGATCGAGTGAAAGATACGGGCCAGAGCGCGAAGGGCACCAGCCACGACCAGTAAACCTCGCATTTTGATAATCATTGGAACCACCATTGCCAGAAAATACTTTGTTTGGAAAGGTGCGATGTATGTCTTCGAGTAAAGGGTTACCACATATTTCGCCTTCAGTGAAAAGAAAAGAAAATGGGGTAATTTATAACGAAAGAGGATCCCAACTAGAGGCATTATCGTTCTACATGTTTAGGTATACTGTGCTATACATTGTTTAACTGTACGCTTAAACCATTATCAGGGAAGAATAAGATATATACTATGATAAAAATAGCATAGATACTCGGGGGTGAAGAAGCTGCGGTTTTGTCAAGTGTTGAGGTATTTTATAAAACTACTGTTCCCCTCCACTTCGGTGATTAATTGTTAATTATACAATTATAGCACTCCTGATGATCCCGCAGGCTTACGTTTCGGAAGCCTTGCAAAAGTAAATATGCTTCTAATTTAGACCTCAACTATGGTCTGTTTGAACTGATGTCACGCCCGCTACTTGTACACGCATGTAAATATCTGAAGTTGTACAAGGTATACAAGATGAATACAACAATTAAGATGTTCCATTTGTTCCACGTAAAATTAGCAAAACAAAATTATCTTATTTCTTAAATGATTGTGGTATCAAAGAAAAGCGCATCAAAAATACGTTATCATTACTCATGGAATTAATTCGGGACTTATCAGAGAAGGTGCTGCCTATTTCAGAAGGGAGTTTATCAAAAAAGGATTTACGATACTTATATATGTTTCAGCAGACCTACTTGCTACGTTTACCTGCTTTCTTAGTATTAAGATTTCTAGAAACTTTTTTGCTCTTCTGCGAAGAACCATCTTCAGTCTCAATTTCAACTTGATACGTGGTGTTCGGTTCAAGTCTTTTAATATCAATCTCAGTTCCTCGAGATATAGTCTGGTATTTTCTACGACCGAGATATACAATGATCCTTGTTATGTAACTGGAGTTTTCTGGTGCTGTACGTATTCTCCACGTCACACGTGCTTCACGTTCGTATGGTGTAATGTTAATATCGTATACAGGAGCTGGAGTTTGAACTAAATATAAAATACCACAAAGTTTGGTAAGAAATTAAGAATGCTACTGATGCAGCTTGGTTTTGCATGACAAGTGTTTAAAAATTTGGAAACGTTTGATATGTTAAGTATAAGTCCAATTTACAACCTAAGGCTAAACAAACCTGAACAATTTGTGGAAAAAGAAGGGATGTATTCCGATTTTTTGTCGCATTATAATTGGAAGCTGCGGGTCAAGCTATAAAAGCTGAAATTGGACAAAGATAAAACGATAAAATTTTCAAGAATTTAAGACAGAATAGAAGAAAATCAGTAAAATTATTTGTCAAATTTGCGAGATCAAAAAAAACAATGTCCGCCATTTTAGATATTCTTTCCACTCCATGAAATTCATATATTAGAAGACGGATTTTGTCTCTAAGACGGGAGACTTGCCTGACAAATTTCCGTCTGATACGGTGAATATGAAAACGTTGAGACGGAATACCCGTCGTTTAACCAAATTAATATGTGGATGGGTTTCTCGGCATGCGTGGCAGGATTACTCGTGTCACATCTCAATGGGTATAAACAGCCAGGATTTCTATAAATTGAGAAATACAGGGCGATACCCAACAAGGATGATCATCTGAGCCATCCAATGGCGCCCTAATTTGAACCCTAACCCTAATCTAATCTCTAACCATAACCCTAATCTAATCTTAATCTGATTCTAATCTAAACTTAGTCTGACCCTAATCTAAACTTAGTCTGACCCTAATATAACCCTAACCTTAATCTGAGCCCGAAGACCTTTCTTTTTTGGTGATACTGTAATGAAGATGCTTAAGAGTATACCACTGTAAAAACAGATTGGTAAAAATAACCATTGAATTGGTTATCTTAATGCACTTATTTGACCAGTATTTTATTGGTTAAAATTTGACAAAATGATATTGGTCAACAGAAAATGTATCTGAGACAACCAATTTAAAATGATTATTTAGACCGTAATAGAAAATAAGCTAACCTTTTCCACAGAGTTCTATTCTAAGACAAAAGTTCGTGTTTCCAGTTGATTGTATCTTTATATGTCTCACATTATAAATCTCAACGAGCGTAGTCGACGCTTGGTAGCCATTCTGGTTTCCTTTTATCTGAAAGATAGTACTAAGAATTCAGAGATAAGTTTTAAATCCCTGAGTTGTACTGAGTCTGCTTTGCGTAGGTATAGGCAAGTAAAATTTAAATGCATTTTAATAATATAACTGTAAATGCTGTCAGTAATGCCAATGCAAAGCTCTTAGATCGAAGCTCCTCTCGACCTTAGCCCCCGTTCACACGGGGCCGAATTTTGGGTTCCGAACCATACTCAATTTCAATCGGTTTCGCTTTACGTTCACATGGGACACACAAAACCGGACGAATTCCAGGACAGCTAGCCGTACCAATTCGAGACCCAATAAATTAGGTCTCGTTTTGTACCGAAATAGCTCCTAAATTAGACAGCGCCATGAACGTTAATTCGTCCGGTTCCGCGTGAACATTTTTCGTCTTGTAGTAATCCGGTTCCGTGTAAAGATGCAGAACCGGGCGAATTTGAGTACGTTTGTTCCGAATTCATCCAGCATCATGTGAACGTATTACTTGAAAACTCCATATCTAGATAAAGAAATTTATGCGGCCCTATTTTATTAACCTTGCCCCCCACCCCATCGCATGCCTCGCCCTTCACAAGAAAGATACACACGAATCTTTAACAGATCTATTAGTTGACCTGGGAATTCATGTTAGTTGCTGGACTATCTTATGCAAATTATATAAACCCTCTTCCTCAACTAACTCCTTTCCTCTTCACTGAGCTTCCCTTCCAAAGTCCCTGGGGCTTAATACAGGATTTAAGGTAAATTTTGAAGAATTATGTTAAACGCTTATCTAACACACATTGTAGGAAATACTTTATTATAATCATCAATACATGTTTGTTATTTTAATAAGTTGTGTCATGACTGTATTTCAATGAATATGATCTTTGTTTGATCTTTATCACCCATAACTACAACCCGTGTCATGTGATATTCTTTTTGAGTATATACTTGTACTTCACTGCTTAAAATATACGCGCACTTTGCAAATATACCTGTATTTCGCTGCTCGTATCCACCAAAGTTTTATTGTGACTGTATTTCATTGAATATGTCTCACTCCATTGTGTCTGATCTTTATTACCCATAACCACAACCCATGTTATGTGATATTCTTTTTGAAGATCAATCAAAAGATAAGGTGCGGAACCTGAAGCACACCAGCCACCTTTAGCAATCCTTGCATGTCTGTATCTACTATACCGATCACCATTACCAGAAAATACGGAGTCTGGAAAAGTTCTTGCGTCACGGAATAACGGATTATCGCATATTTTGCCTACAGTTAAAATAGACGTTAAATTAACGCCTCACCGGTATCGGGCTATTGCACGAATCTGTTCAATTTAATGTAATCGCAAATTTGTGACGAGGACGAGAGCCGAAATCCATCATGCATTTATCTTTCTATGTTTGGGTAAGTTAGGTAGATTGTCCTACCTACCTAGGAGTTGAACCATCTATTCATTCAACTCTAAATTTTAAACCATTAGTATAGTAAGTACGAAATTATAATTATACCAAATTGTTTGTATGCTTCCAGCGCAATAAATCTAATTTATCAGTATGACGTGTTATTTTCCATTAATACTTCTCAAACCGTCTAATTTCCTACACTTATTACACAAACATAACAAAAATTATAATTATATTCAGGTGAGTTGGATATCAACCGTAGTTAATTTGAGCTGATTTAGTGACCGTTACTTATGTCATTACTCACATTTGACGTACGACAGGTAAGAAGTCTTTGTAGAAGGAACAAGATGGGTACAACAGGATGTTCCACTTGGCAGTGTGTTATAACATATTACGTCCCCAGTTGCAATTTTGTGACTTCTCTGAGACCAGTAAGTATTTATATGGTTCGCATCCGTCTCTCTAAATCCCAAGTGCTGGCACAACATTTTCTGACGAATTTTATCCCAATTTTTCTCAACAACATATCTCCAAGTTGAACCATGCTTTATTTGGATGTAACCACGGTATGGATAAGTCCCTAATCGTATGTTAGATGCTGAAAAAGAAATTTTCAATGAAAGAGAAGATTTATTCTTGGAAAAAATGTTATATCCTTCCTGACGCGATGCGACTACGCCTTGCCCGCGTAGTTATAGATCGCTACAACAAGCTAAGAAGCAATTCAGTGAAGTAAATACTACTTATAAAAAATATATATTCACTAAATTCACTCCTTTGCTTGTTACCAAGAGTCCGCTGTCTCCATGCGTTTTGCCACCTAAGAATGGCGGACAAAGCTGGGTCGCATTAGGTGTGAATTGCTAACAAGGAAATATTTTCTAAAGGATACTAAGGATGTATATTATAGACGCATATATTCCGTCGTCCTAACTTCGACGTACTGCAGTGAACGAATAGATAAGTCACAAGTATTTTGAGCACATGAATCTGAACATTCATAGCTCATCCATAAGAGGGAGATTCTAAATCGCAGCAAAAATTTCAACGGGCTTTAAAACGTTATGCATGGGCCCTTTATGTTCAAGTTAACCAGTCCAGCATGTTGGTCGAACATTAATTTGGGTCTAGACATGCTTTCGCACGCTATTCTGATTCATTTTATTAAATGAATGCAAAGCCCGGCGAAATTGCATTCATGCACGATCCAACATTTTAACACTATTTGAACATTATGGTTCAGTTAAACCATTCCATGATGAAGTCAATCTGCTTCAACGTACATCTTCCACCATTAGCCAGTCAGAATTACCAAACAAAATGTCCAAACAAACACAAACAATGTTGAATCCATTGTTAAACAAACATGTTTTCAACCAATATTGTCAAGTCGACAGTGAAATGGTTGCTGTTTGACTTGTTTGAATGCATGGTCTTTTTTATTATTTTCCGCTATATATTATTATTTCCACTGTAACGTCTTTCGTAAAGCCATCGGCCAACACAACAAATTCAGTGCAAAGACATGCTGTATATACTGTATTCCATTATCATGATACAGTTTAACATTTGCACATTTTACAATATCCACTTTACCTGTTATGGTAGTTGAACTATAGGTATCAACACATTCGTGCTCGGTGTAAATTTCTTTTCCAGTATCAGGGCAATACTGCGATGGTAATAAATTGTCGTTCACGGTAAATTCACAGGATTTCATCCCACCACAACGTGATTTCACCTGGCAGTTGGTCAGTGCACTGCATTTCGTATCGATGAGTGCACTACCATCAAACTTGCCATTCTTATAGAAATCTCCATAAACAGCCCTCTTGATGTCAATACGTTGTCTTGGAGAACAATGAAAATTTTCCATTTTGGTGCCGTAGTTGGTCACGGAGCCTGAAACAGAGTTAACAGTCGAGTATCAATCTTCTGTTACCAATACAGCAAGAGTATATATCAATCAAGTGGCTTGAGAGAATTGCTTGGAATATTACAAAACTAACGTACACTCACAAATCAAACTTCATGACCCTTCTTTTCAAAAAAAACCCTCATCTCTTTTCTAAAAAATAATTATCTTGTGGTGTACAAGAAGATCACAACAAACAAAAGATCATTTAATCAAGGGCGCCCCAGATAAGCCTTTAGTGGCTTTTGGCGCAATTGTCAATTTTTGAATTTAAATAAAATATTTTTTATATAAAAAAAATGAATATGGAAGGTCGTTTTTTCTCAGTGGGAAGTTGCTTTTTTTAGAGGGCAGCTGAACATAGGATTTAAGGCCATGTTATACGGTAGAATTTTTCTTGCAACTTGCAATGCAATTCTACTCTTGAGAGATGTAAAATTGCCAAGTACGAGTCTTCGTTACACTCCGTTGATGTTTTCTGAACATATCGAAAATTCTTCACTGATTTCACTAATTAACATCTCTCAAGAGTAGAATTGCATTGCAAGTTGCAAGAAAAATTGCACCGTGTAACATGGCCTTTAGGTACATACAGTTTTGTTTACCTTTCTTGGTCCTTAACATTTCAGAGGCCGCTTTTTCGCTGCTCTGCGAAGAACCATCCTGAGTCACAATTTCAACTTTATACCAAGTATACGGTGTAAGTCCTTCAATGTTAATTTGAGTACTTCGAAATATACGCTTTTTTTCTGTACCGTTGAGATATATAACGAGGTGTGTTATATAACTAGAGACTGAAGCGGAGGTTGGTAGCTTCCACGTCACACTTGCCGAGGTAAATGATGGTTGAATTTTAATGTCTTGTACAGAAGCTGGCATTTGAGCTAAATAGAAACACGATAAAGTTTAGCAAGGAATTAAATGTGCTATTGATGTATCTTGGTTTGGACGGAAATTTTAAAATTTTGGACTGCTTCCAATTAGCGTTTCTCACGGACGATTTTCCCGCCATTTTTGATACTGTCTCTCCCACGTTTGAGAGTCTCCGCACCACGAAATGCGACTTTTTAGTACTGTAGTTGTTTGTATAATGGTGAATTTACAGTTGCAACTTTTAAAAGTCGCTGTTTACGTTTTTTGAATTGTCTAGAATTTTTCGCCAGCGCAGACAGTACCCCCCAAAATGGTGGATTTTGGCCTTCGTGAGAAAGGCTAATTCTCTGTAATTTTTAGAGGTTTTGTTATTTTTTTGCAATTTGTTTCAGATGGTTTTGAATATTTTAATTTTTAGGACCTTTAAGGCTCACCAGGACAGAATATCGGTTCTGATCGAATGCTCGCTCATATTTGCAATAAACAAAACTATGTCTAAAAAACAAATATATTAATTATATGGGAAAATGCGCTTTTTCCACAGAAAATTTCAAACAAATTCCTGTGAACAAACTAATATCACTGAGTATTATAAAGGTATACCTTCTCCACACAATTCTATTCTGAGACAAAAGTACTGACTTTCACTTGATTGTATCTTTATAAATCTCACATTAAAAATATCAACATGCGTAGTCGATGCTTGGTAACCGTTCTTGTTTCCTGTTATCTAAATAGAAAATATTTCTAATTCAAAAAAATTCCATACATTTGTCTAAAATCAATTTCATCTATTCCAAGACCACCACCAAAATGAAACAGCAATTGTGCATATTAATTCTATATTTTATTCTTGTTTAGCTGACTTCCCCCGTTCTTGCTCCCCCCTCCCTTTAGGATCAGTAATTTATATTGCGCTTTTTGTGGTGAAATATTTTTTTTATATAATACCTTATTGAATTCTGATCGTTTAATTGGTTGTTTATGGTCAAGTGATATTGAATAGAAAATTCCATTTTCCAAGAGTGCAATGAAATACGTTCCATTGAACTCTTTGCGAGTGCAATTGTACTATACGTTTTATTCCAATGCACTCTTTGTGTTTTCGATAAATCGCATCCGTCAAAATGTGTGTATTTATATTAATTATTTAATGGTGTTTTAATAAACTGTTCTTGAAAAAGTAATATTAGTCTATTTTGGTATTATATAAAACAAATAATGAATGTTTATTCGTGCAATGGTAAGAATATTTTCATTCGGTGAAAGAGGAATGTTCCATTCAATTCGGCTGTCGCCTCGTTGAATAGAACATTCCATCTTTCACCTCATGAAAAAATTCTTGCCATTCCACTCATAAACATTCATTATTTGTATACTTTGAAGCAATATACTTTAATTTCTGTTATTAATGTCGCGAAAGCGATTTGGATATACGTCAATGAACTTGTGGTTGATTTGAGCAAAAGCTCGGTGATATCAAGCGAGAATAGATGAATGACCATTATAATTACCCTCTTTTGTGACTAGCTCTATGATTATTATCTATATCAGTGTAAGCAATACCTATGGTGGCTATGAAAGTTCGAACACCTTAATTTAGATATGTTAATATAATCCAGTATTCTAGTGAAATTGGTATATTGATTTTCTCTCCATCAAAATATTTTAGTTGAATGAAACTTGCTCGCTTTGTTGATCCACTCTATCATGACCGTCATAAATACCTTTTGTTCATTTTCATAACTTCCATTATGACTGTACGTCATTGAATATGACCCACTCCATTTCGTCTGACGTCTATTTCCCATTACCACAACCCGTGTTATGTGATATTCTTTTTGAAGGTCGATCAAAAGATAAGGTGTGGAACCTGAAGCACACCAACCAATGGCAGAAAATCTTGCATTTCTATAGTTGCTAGAACCACTGCCAGAAAATACAGGGAACGTGGGAACGTCTTTTAGTATTGGTTTATCACATACCTTACCTACAATGAAAATAGAGAAAGAAAATCAGCACCTATACACTGGCATTTACTTGGGCAGCTGAATCTGTGCCATATAATGGGAAATATGTGATGAGGCTAAAAGCCTGATCGAGACCAGTACCTTATATCTTCGTAAATGGTGTCAGACATAATGTGCATGCTACGTAAGATGTTTAAACTCTATGTTTAGTACATTATCAGAAAAACATAAGAAACTATGATAATATTATTAAGCTCTTTGTATCTTTATAGCGCGAAAAATATATTTTATTGTAATATTAGCATTGATGAAGATCCAGCCATAAGCGTTATTGAATACGGACTGCTTTATGCCCGTTACTCGCTAATATTGGACTGCTTTATGCCCGTTACTCACATTCTACGTATGGAATGGAAGTTCTTGAAGGAGTTGTAGAAGGAACAAGATGGATACAACAGGACGTTCCACTTAGCTGTGTGTTATAACATATGAAGTCTCCGGTTGCAATATTATAGTTACTCAAAATCGATCCAGAACGAATATCATTCGCGTCCGTTTCTTTGAATCCCAAGTGTTGACACAGCATTTTTTCTCGGTCTATATCCCAATTCTCTACATTAACGTATCTCCAAGTTGAACCATCCTTTATTGTGATGTGACCCCGGTATGGTGAACCCGTTAATAATATAATAGGTGCTAAAACAGAAAGTTTGAATTAAAGAGAATACATTTATTCTTGAAACCAACTGTCCTGAAATTATCCCGCTTTCTTCATAATCGGTCATTCTAAATACTCCTCTATACTAGCTATAGCTTTTGGGTGTCAAACTGCCGTAGCGAAAAATAGTGACCACAAGCGAAGAAGAAACTCAGTGAAGTAGATACAGGCAATAGATTCACTAATTTATTCGCTTGTTATCTCTTATCTACTGTTCCAGTCAGGGTTTGCCACCCAGAAATGGCAGATTAAGCCGGATCGCATGGCGTAAGAAAAGGCTGATTCACACGGTCGTTAACAAAGCAAGATTTTCGAATGTTACCGACATATAATCCAATAGGTTTTCTTGACCGTTGTCCTAATTTCAACTTCCTCCAGGTTTTAACTCCTTATATATTCAGCGTTGTTATACTCTCCCATGCTAGAATGCTATTTAGGAATTACTGAATGAGATTGAGCATGATTGATCAATCCAAAAGGCCGAAGTTTGTGTTATCTGCCGAAGGTTAAGGCGGATAACACAAACTGAGGCCTTGATATTTCTTCATGTCTGATCAAGGCTTTGATATTTTTCCGACTGAAGCCTTGATACAATTCTTCATATTATGCCAAAATCGAAACAGGGATCCAACGATACGTTTAAGTTGCTTCACACCACCGTATAACTCGCTACATTGGTTCGGTGCAATTTTTACTAGTCTTGAATGCATCCTGGCCTCTTCAACTGTTAGATATTATTACATCGACTTTAGAATATTCACTTTACCTGCAGTTATAACGGTTGACCAATTGCTATCAACACAAGTGTACTCTGTGTAAATTTCTTTGGAAGTATCAGGACAATAATCTGATGGTAATAAATTATTGTCCATGGTAAGTTCACAAGATCTATTTCCACCACAACGAGATTTTACCTGACAATTGGTTAAGCTGCTGCATGTTGTGTCAATATTTTCGTCATTAAAGAAACCTGTTTTATTAAAATCTCCATAATCAGCTCTCTTGACCATCATATATTGTTTGGGGGAACAATGAACATCTTTCATTTTGGTGCCGTACTGTGTCACTGATCCTAAAAATGAAGATTACTACTTTTGTAAACAATAAATAATATATATATACTGACATAAATATGGTTGGAGACATTTAAACATATATAGAGTCTTGAAGTATGTTAACACTTGCGCCTGTATTCTAAAAGCTCACACTCAATCTCAAACGGATCTTTGAGTGTCAGTGCCGTTTTTGAATAGATGGAGGGTTAGTGCCTCGTACATTACTATATGTGAATATTCACCCTCAAGCAATTCAAAAACAGCACTGACACTCAAGGAAAGCTCAGTTTCAGTGTGAGTGACATTTTTAGAATACAGGCGTTAGGCCCGGTTTAGACGCCGTGCTTTTCATGAGCCGAACTTAATTCATATTTTACTCGAGTAAAATAGGCGTACTTCCAATTTTGATTTAGACAGGCGTGCTTTTCATGAGCCGTACCCTGGCCGTACTTAATAATTTGCGCTGCTTCACTTCGAAACCTGGGGCGAGTGACAATTCATAATAAGAAAAAAGGGTTTATCACATACAATCTTGCCATTTCTGAGCGTCTACAGGTTTGTGGTTATTAAAAATTTCAATTGCTTTTTGAAAAGCCTTATTACTACAAACATAGCATAATGCCTGGATATAATGTGTGGGAAAACGAGACCTATATAGGCTTAGGGCGAGTTTTTCCACGTTATTCGAGTTCTCCCAAACTACTACAAGTGTTTCTATAACTGTATGGGTCATACATAATAAATGCTTTATATTTATTTCTTAATATAACTAAAAAAAGATTTGTAGTAGACTCGATATATTTACAAATTCTCATTGCGTAATAATGCCGACCTTTGCTCCATCAATTTACTGCAAGAAACCCTTTTTGCCTTTATCAGCAAATATCGCTATAAGCCTAATTTCGCAACTTTTATGCAAAGAGTCTACGAAAGGTGTATCCTTTGCTACAAATTGACGTATATAAAGAAAAGAAAGGGAAATTCTACCGCGATATTTGCCGATAAAGCGGTATTAAATCACTACAGAAAAAATAGAACAAATTACAGAAATACAAAACAAGCCAGAAGCGGAAGTGGGAAGGTTTTTGTATTTTGACTGTATTAAACAATTCTTAATTGTTTTGTTTACGATTGTAAATTTAGGCGGGAAATTTCCCGCGTAGAAACACGCTTCTCGACCAATCAACGCACGCGTACTATAAATGTTCTATTTTATCATAATTTATGCATTTGGTACGGCTCATGTGAAGCACGGCAGTATAAATCAACATGTGCTTCAGCCGTGTAGCACGCCTGAACCAGGCGAACTTATTAATTTAGCCGTGCTTAATATTAAGTGCAGTGCTTAATTGATTTAGACGCCGTGCTTCTCATGTGCTTAATTCATTGTATTAAGTTCGGCTCATGAAAAGCACGGCGTCTAAACCGGGCCTTAGTCTTGATGACCTTATTTCAGGGAAATATCAGTTGTGTTCTCCGAATAGATGCACGTACGCCTCAAAAATGTAGCTTACCTACAATCTTGGCTAAACAGCGCACATGCAACGACGGACGTTGTTCTCCTTATATAATCACCTCCTTCCCCCTTTCCAGTAATTAAATGATGTTTTATGCAATTATAATACCTGAAAATCTGGCACAACATTATTGTGACCGAAATAACGGCGCGGGGGGAGTTTGAATGTTATAGTTATAAAATGTAATAAAAATAAATTTAGGGGGAAAGTAGTGCAAACGTTTAGTCGTTCTACATTCTACAAGCATTTGGCCAAGATTGAAGTTTTTTGTCATCATAAGTAAAAAGGTTGTCTGAAGACTTGTAAATGCAAACTTTAATTCTGACTCACAGAGAGCAGTGTGCTTTTAGAATTCAATCTAAGTTCAATTATGACGGTTTTAGACCTGCATGCATGCTGCATTAATAATTCATGAAGAAAATTCAAAAGAAATGAATGTTTAATCAATGTTTGTAAATCGGAAAAAGATTTGTCCTGATTTACATAAACTTCGTGCAGCTTTGATTTTCTCGGCTCAGACAATGTTTATTTTTAAAATTACTTCGCCAATGAACTCGTAAGATGGGTCGTTCTTTAAGCACGTTAAAACATTCGCATCTGATCTTTATCTGATATTCGGCTAGCGCTCGAGTTTGTATATCAGATAAAGATCGGCTGCTCATGTTTTAACTAGTACGAATTTACTTATACGCCCAGATCAAACGAGGATGAGAGTGCACGAGAGTTGGCAATCTCGCGACCTTGGTTAACTGTTATTCAATGCTGTTTTTGGAACTATACTCTATAGTTACAGTTATACATCCTCGTAAAAAGAAATAGTTACCGGTAAAAGCCACAAAAATGTAACTATTAATAGTTAACATTACAAAGTTACTTCACGATGGTTTCAACTGGTTAAAAAGTTACTTTCAATAGTTTTTGTAACCGCTTGTTTAAAGTTACATCTGCAGGTTTTAATAAGTAAATTACTGTAAAGAATAGGATAGTCCAACTGGAATGGGAGGGGAGTTATTGTACAGTCAATCGGTTTAATGACCACATTAGATACATGTAATAAAAGTTGATAGAATAAACAAAATAGCATATAAGCCTACTATATTTTAACGTGAAAATGCAACGTAAACGTTGGTCTGAAAAGTAACGCGTTATCGTTCCATTTTAAGCCAAAATGTAACTAGTTATATAGTAACACTGTCATGCAGTTACCTCTTTTCAAAACGTAACTAGTTACTGTTACAGTTACCTAAAAAAGTGACGATTAGTAATATCGTTACTTGTAACGAAGTTACTTCCAGAATACAGCACTGCTGTTATTAAGTGGTATTTTATAGAGTATGTTCTAGAGCTTGAAATGTCCCCTGTAACAACTGTCAAAACTGGTTATTTTAACCAATATGTTTTTACAGTGTACGCGGTACACTGACGTATTTAATCATGCATAGTAGTTACACAAATTACAATATTTGCAAACGTAAAAGGGTATAAGATTGAAATGATATGAAAGATGAAAGCGAAGTTAACTAGTGATTAATTACATTTATAATTTGTAAATATTTACAATTTTTACAAAACAGGTCTTCGAGATGGTGTTAGTAAGGTTATTAGGTTAAGCTTATTGAGAAAGATTTTACGAAGCTTGTATTTGAAAATTGAAGTACTGAATATTCACTTACCAAAAGTAAAGTTTTGTTCTACGTTACTACATCCATCTTTTTTCAGATCAACATAACTTCTATTAGGCTGAACACAAAAGTCCACTTCGTAAAGATATAAAGATCCAGCATCTGTTTGTTTCAAATGATGATCACTACTGCTTTGGAACTTTTTTCCTTGTTTATTTTTGCCGTAATGTATGAATAAACGATTTAGGAATTTCATTTTATTCTTAGCGTTAGACGCTAATGTCCCTCCAGTCTTGATATTTTGTAACAGTTCTGTATCGAGATAACGGAACTGTGCACTAACATTCAAGCTGTTGTTAACCATTTCAACCCAGTAACTTCTCGAATTAATATCATCCGAGATCTGACTTCCTGCTGCAATACACTTTCCAGACTGAGTATGCCTGAGAAAAAGACTCTGACAACCTGCAAACAAAAAATAAGAACTCAACAACCTATTTAACGTACTTTTGCATTACAGTACATACGACAAATGGTATGAAATTAAAAATCCGGGATATAGTTGAAAATTCAAGATGATAATTCAACTCAAAAGTATAATTGTCAACCTAGAGTACTTATTTACAAGGTATAAAAAAAAAAGATTATGGATTATTGCATTAGGATTTTAGGACGAAGAATTATTGTGCCAATTTATTTTTAGGGATATTTTAGTTTTAGATTAAAATTCTCACAGATTAATACTCTCAAATTTTACCATGTAGTTATGAATTTTTTAATCCCCCCTCACCCATAACAGAGTCTCGTGTATAGCATGCGAGAAGCGACAAAACTAGATTACTAAAACAGTGCCAAACATAACGTACAGTAACACTGAACATAGAACTAAAGCCAATGACTAACACTCTAAATTGCGTACGTCTAAGTACACTGTAAATTTCAAGCAGTTGAATCATCTCCAAAAGTGTTGTTTTGTCATCGTTTTTTTGTGACAGTATAACACTTTTGGAGTTAATTTAACTCCTTGAAATTTACAGTGTAGCATACTGATACTTGTGCATTTTGACACCGCCTAATTTATCTTTCAAGCCAGCTTGGAGCATTGGTTTAATGACCAAAAGCCAACAGCTCGGTAGTTGAGTTCAAGTTTGATTTCATTAATGTGTAGGGTAAGGTTTGGTTTGCATGACCTTGCAGATTATTATTATTAATATTTATTAATTTTATTATTATTAAATAAATTTTATTACATACGAATTGTATATTGAATTTATTAGTCTCATGAGGAATTTTGTTATTTGGTCTCATGAGGAACTATTATTATAACTGATTGGGTGAATCCAATAAAGCAATATTAAAAATACCTTTTAACCTCGATTTCAACATTGTGTTTGCTATATTACTATAAAATACCTACCTTTAAACACAAATAATGTTAAACCATACAAGAGTAACCAGCGATAAACTAGCCACGACATTCTGCTGCTGATTGTGGAAACTGATACAGTGAAAGCGTTAGCCAGTTAAATGTTTAAACCACGAGTTCGTTGTCTTTGTAGTTCCGCACTGTACTTCCTGGGAAAACACGATAATATGTTAATAAAACTGACTTTATACAAAGAACAATGTTGATCACCAAAAGCAGTACTTGGAAATATAAGTGGATTCAATTCTATATACACAGTTCATTCTTTGTCGGTTTGGATGGCGACCAATATAATTGATTTGTTCGGTGGCAACACCACGTTTATTGCTTTCGAAAAAGCTTTCGATCTATAAGCATGAAAGTTCACCATGCATGCAGCAACAAAGTTTTCAAAGTTTTCCTTTTTTGTAAAATGTTTACCCACGAAATTTTGTTGATAAGTCGCGAGTCGAACCATCTTTAAATTTGTACCAAGACTTATAAACAAATGACCCGTATGTTAGGAGATATTTATTCAACTGTTAAAATTTGAATCCAAAATGAGAATAATTTCAATACTGAAACAATAGTTTTGCACTCAATTCCCAATGGTGGTGCAATTCCGATAGGGTGTATTTGCAATTCCGATATGGTGTATTTGCCAATGTACAATGCCAATATTGTATTTGCTAATTGTAAGAATTTTAATATAAACAAGACGCTCTACAGGGTGTATAAAAAAAGGAGACTTTTAGAAATCAAGCATATTGTTAAAATTTGAATGGCTTTTCAATTGCACATATGCTGAACCGTAGGCGTGAATTATTGAAAAAAGAAGACCTTTCGAAATTGAAATAACGTTTAAACAAAAGATTGTCTGCTCCTGGGAACAATCTGCCATGCATACTGTACGTAGATCGCATGTTACGCACTCGTGGGCTTAGCAAAGTGCTTCAGGATTCAAATTATAACAATGGTTGATTTCTAAAGGTCTCCTTTTTCTAATATACTGTATGCACTCATCAATATTTCACGCACCACGGTTCAGCATATGTGCAATTGAAAAGGCATTCAAATTTTAATAATATGCTTGATTTCTAAAGGTCTCCTTTTTTTATACACCCTGTATTGAGCATCTTGTTTATATTAAGTTCATAGTTATATATTTTTTAATTCAACTTCTTTATTAAAGAATAATAATCATTAATTAGAAATAATTAATTTTGTGAGCTAAACTATCCAGACAAGTTATTAATTATTATGACTTTGTAGCCTGATGGGTATGATTTTGCTTTGGCTGTTCAGCATTTTGATCCATTGCGTATATATTGAACATGTGTAATGGAAATAAGCAAATAAAGTTATTTCTGCAATAGTCCTTGCACTCGAAACCTTATTTGTATTTTTCTTGTTCATGTCATGCTTGAGCATCAGCCTAAATGAGCAAATTCCATTGGATTTGTGAGGGCACTTGAAGTATATTGGGTCATTACAGAAAAGATCCAGACTCCGACAGACACTACGAAAGAATTAACACCTGTGCAGAGGAGGGGGGTGCACTAGTAAAATGTACCCAGAATATCTGAACAGAGGGAGGGGGGAAGTGATACAAATCTTAAAACTGAAGTTTAATATAGACTTGAAATTTTAAGCAAATAAGTGCCAGCAATCTCCCCTTGGCAAGAATCGTATTGTGGAATATGCAATACACTCAAACCCGTCTCATGTTACACGATTTTCTTAGAATATTGGAAACGTCACAACGGGATTTAAAATACACCATGCTCATTATCACCAAAACGAAATCTTATTCTATATAAATAAATGTAACACTGGATTCGAAGCTTGGTTAGTGAATTCCGAATGCTCAAACCTAGAATGTAATTTGCGCACACATTTGGAGCATAACACACTTCAGATGATAATACAATAACACCAGTACTTACCGTGAACCACCAACAACGATATGCCATACATGATTAACATCTATGAATTAAACACGACATTCTGCCGTTGCCGTTGAGTTAGTACACTGAAATGAATCGTGAGTGCATGTCTCGCAATTTTAGCCTTCGCTTTCTTTCGGAAAAGTGAAAGTTTAAATCACGAGGTGTTGGCCATCGCACTTTCACATTTTTGTACCTACACAAAAAAATATATTTGTTAATTAAACTTGATTTTATCCCAAGATTAGGTAATAATAGTACGACATATATGGAGTTTATGTATAGACGGTTTACTTTTTAATATCAATAAAACTTAGGTTTTCAACTGTCAAATAATACCTTTCTTGCATCAATGCAAACAAAGATGGCTTAACACGATACGATTAAAAACTTACTGTTTGAAATCACATTTTCCCATCTTTGTGCATAAAATGTTCTTCGAATTCTTGAACATTTGCCCATGCAGGCTAAGGTTGGCCATCGTACAAAGAAACACACCATCCAGCGAAGATCGACGTTGGTGGGAATTTCCTGCCATCGGCTCCCATGCAACAACCAGTCAGGTACGGCCATGCCAGACAATTGTAGGCTACTTTCTGGGAACTCGCAGGGATAACATCTAATTTTGTTTATTAAATGAACCTGTCCTACTTCCAACCAGGTAAAAATAAAGAATAAATTGTACAGGTTTTCAAACATCTGATCAGTACAGCCTCAGTAGAAAATCTAGCTTTTATCATGCACCACGTTATTGGGCACTCCTATAGCCACTCAAGGTCGATTTAAATGTGCAGTGGCGATATTATTTTACTCTTGGACTAAACAATTCCTTTCAGACACGGAAGTGTCCTGAGACATGAGGACAGTCAGAAGGATTTTTACTAGACCTCGGGCTGATGGAGTAGCTTTTTGCCATAACTTTGGGTGAGTATATTTACCATGCATGCAAACGTGTTAACCATGCAATTATAAGATAAGTAGATGCTTTCAGCCATCCGCCCAACCCATGCAGTTGAGAAGCCAGAAGGATACCCCATGAGACTTCTGAGAGATCTGCTATACCTTGATGGTTTGTAGGTTATCAAAAAGATAATAAAATAATTATTAATTTATGTTATAATTTTAATTATTACTAGTTTCGACATGCAATTGCGAAAGACTTGACATCCAAATATCATCATGTACATTGCTTCTTTACTTTAGTCCTTTTGAGTCCGCTTTTAAGACGGTAAATCTATAGTATAGTACTCGTATTGTTTATGCACTGACAGATCTATGACCTGCAGAATAAAGTTTTTAAAACTATTAAAATACGTATGACAAGTTTTCGCTTTAAGCGTATACAACGAAGTTAGTTTCTTCTTTTGAAATTTATTATTATGAATATATACTGGGATATAGTTGGTCACTCGAAATTAGCGTAGTCACTGAAGCCATCCAGGTACGCCATAATGGCAGTGTAACAGAACTTGTATTGTTCCTAAAGAAGAAAACAATTTAATTTTTGTTACAATTCAAGGCCCAGTTGTTCGAAAGCCGATTTACTTATACCCCTAGACTAACGAAAAGTCCTTGGCTTGTTTATAAACATAAAGATATTTTTCCAAAATTCTTGTCTGGATCAATCCAGTTGACTGAAATAAACAGAAGTGCGGATGTACCCATATATATATATACCCAAACAGATGCATGGTTAAATTTTAACAAAGGGTTGTATATATAAGTGTTATATATAAGCGTTAATCTATCTTTGAACAACCGGCCCCATGATTGAGGGAGATTTAGCTCGGGATTCTTGCTCATGGGATACATTTGCTTCTATATGTTCAACATCGGTAACAGTTGGTCATCAGTTATTTTCCGAGCAAAAAGCCAATATGGCCGCCTACCGATTGCTCTCCGCGCATTAATTTGAATAATTCTTATAAATAATTTCTCCCTCAATCCATTCTTTCAAAACCAAAAATACGACTCTTATACTATAATCGTGTTAGTTATTAATACAAAATAAGGTTAAGTCCAGCTACATTTTCGTCAAATTTGTACTTACGGCATTTTCGACAAATTGAGGTCGTGTTCCTCTGATCATTTTTATGGCTTGGAAAACATCCATTGCTTGTTCAATTTTCATTCGTTCAAGAAGGTTTGAAATTGCAATGTATGTTCCTGTTCGACCTGCTCCATCGCTGAAATATATAAATATATAATTCTATCCTATGCAAATTGATCTGAAAAATATCAAATTGAGCTATTACTTAAATGCACAGACATTATGATGTAGAAAAGGAAAAATAATTGCCAATTCTTTCTTTGGATTTCCAAAAGCTTTCTCAAATTTTCATTTGCCTTATATTTTGAGGACGATATAAAATTTAATTTGTGATGTAAAACGGGGATTCTATAGCATTTTTAGAGCACTATTATCATTTGCCGGCAGAGAATTGTCAACCGGCAGTTGTCGCAGTAAGAAAGGAATACTGTCAATTAACAATTTCGCAGAATATCAAGAACTATCAAGCCAAAAGTTGTGTTATCAACCGAAGCTGAAAACTGAGGTGCTCCCACAGCACTGGAAAAAATTTTGAAAATCCATAGAAGGTCATAGAATGGAAATTGTATGGACCTTTACTGGAAATAGAATGGATTTTGACTATCCATGATAAGGCCAAAAAAAATATGTGGGTTTCTGGTTTCTTCTTATAAAAACTTAGGTAGGGTAGGTCGGTTTTAACTTTTTTTTTTAAACTTTTTTTTTAGATTTTCCAAACAACCGGACGCCATTTTGTTTAGTCAGTGCTTCCACATCCAAAGATAAATTTCCTTAATATTGCCTCAAATTTCAATTTTCCACAAACTTTTTCCTCTAAGTGGAAACACTTACAAGCATGATCCAAAAAAAGGTTAGGGTAGGGATTTCGACGTCCAAAAGCTAGGTAGGGTCGGGAAACCGGAAACCCACATATTTTTTTGGCCTATAATTGTATATTTCCATGCTATGGATGTAATGTCGAAATAGTATGGACATACTACTACGGGGGTACTACGGAGTTAGTGGTGCAATTGCAAATATCATAGTATGGATTTCACTTTTTTCCCCCAGTGCAGGTTACTCGCTCCCACCGACCGGTTTAGAAAAAGAATACTTACAGACTACAGTATAACATATGCAGAAGGAAAATACAAAAAACTCTTAAAACAACAGGGAGTACTGCTGAAACGTTTTTTTAGTAGCTAGTATAATTGTTTAATTTGTGAATTTGTTTACTAATTCTTTGCCGCTATACATGAAAAACAAAACAATTAATGTCGCTGTTCTATATCAGGAAATATTTGTTTTGTTTTTGCTTGAATCTCAATTTTTTTCCTTCAACTTCGTCTCGTTAAACATTGGTACTCTCCAGAGCAGACATAATAAGTGCACAATATGTAGGCCTAATACTGTATTAAATAATTTAATAATGTACCTGCATACAACGATGATTGGCCCTAGACCATAATTCTTTATTGAATTCTCAACCAATGACGTCAGCGTGATGATTGCATCTGCGTCGGGCGGAATTTGGTGGTCCGGCCATTTCGTGTAATGGAAAATATTAACAACTTGACCACCAGACAAATCCTAAATTTAAATTTGCTAGTTTTAGAGTATTGTTGAGGATTTTGTTGTGGTTAGAGTTGGTGTTAGGGTCATGCAGGGTTAATATTATCTGCAAAATATTCTCTTTAAATAAAACTAACATGACCTATATATACTGTATATATATATATATATGTATATATATATATATATATATATATATATATATATATATATATATATATATATATATATATATATATATATATATATATACACACACACACAATTTCTGTGGTTTCGGTTGGAGTGATTATTGATTAAGATTATTTAAATAGTAATCTAGACTTGTTGAGATCAAATAAAAAACCAAATCACTCTTGTTAAATTGGCAAATAAAAACCTATAGCTGGAAAAACCCGAAATGCATTTATACATACTGGATGAGGCGACAAGATAAACTTTCTAGTCCATATTCCACCAGATTGTTTTTCAGAGTCCAACTGCACTGTCAAGCTGTCATATTGTTTTGATTCTCCCCTGTTTGTCGGCCAGAATTTCGGGAACGACTACAGTGTACCAAAAAAAAACATTGTCATATATCCGTACAGCGAGAGAAAATATCTACAATCATTGTGAAATGTGTTTGGGCATGCAGATAACCCATATACCGACATAATTTTAAAAAAAGTTTCACCCCCCCCCCCCCCCCCCCCGTGGGAAAAGTATTAAATTACATAAACATGCTTCCAGTGGAACATTCGTTAAAAACATAAATTTTGCGAATTATTACGTTCAAAATACTTGCTAATTTTTGTTTATTTTCTTTGCTTTGAATTTACAAGAACATTCTTACATTCTTACTTTACATAATTCGTTTTCGGTAATTATAGTAAGACTTTAGCCTTTTTTTGGTCTCTATTAATCATTATATTGTGTTAACATACTATAATCTATATCGCAAATTTACAGTGTCAGATGCGCACAGACCGTCATTGGCATCATACGAATAGACATAAATTTTCGAGTTTTCTAGCCTACTTCTACTAACATTTTTAAAGTTTTTATTGTGAATCACCTGTTTATCTCTAATTCATTAATCATTTATTTATTTGATAGTGTCATATAGTGAATAATGCGTTCACACACAAGCAATCCTGGATATGATATAGACGATGTAAGCTGTCCATTAAAAAATAACGGTATTCTACTTCACAAAGTCAAAGCAAAAATTTAAATCTCACTTGTATTATTAAGAATGCATATACAGCAAAAACTTAAAGCTTATTCATATCAAAACGAAAGCTGTTTACAAAATTTATAAAGGTGGTAAACACTACTAAAAACAGTGCTCATTGAAAGACATGTATAATATAGTGACATATAATTTGTCGTTTGACTTATCTTTGGTGTATGATTTTAATACCGTAGATTTTCAACAGACAGCTATACTTTGACATATACCATGATCGTTGGTTTCAGCAATGCCAAGGGCCAATTTTATAGTGTTTTGACGGGCTTTAAGTTTTTTTGATAAGGCCTTTATATAGATCAACAATCTGGAAACAGTTGGCGATATTTCGGAAATCAAAAGATCTCGCTATTTCGTTGCAATTCCACATCTCATCAATAAATAAATTCTTTTGGTCAGAGTATCAGGATAGACATTAATACTAAATAAATAACAACCACACTGTTCGGTCTAGAGATCTACATTTTCTTGTAGGTTTAATATCGCCACGCTGCACAAGCGGCAAGCGTGCTTTCTTTGGCAAATCTATAAGTTGAATATTGAAATCTGATCCAACTTGCTTGAATTGTAACTCGACACCAGATTATAGAGTAGAGCGTCACGATATAAATATTAATTTAAGAGTTCTCTTTACGATTTCTTGTTGCAAATTTACAGTAAACTTCATCACCCAAAGTTGCAATTTTAAAACGCTACAAACACGCTCCTTTCCCACCCCTCTCACAGTTACAATTAAATTTACCTCCCAGAATCTGGGAGGCACGTGACCAGCCGCAGCCAGGGTCTCTCCCAGATGACAGAAGGAGAGACCCTGGGAACGAGGTTGAGATTAACCGAGACAATAGAATACAAGTAATCATATTCATTTTATAATTGAAAGAAGAAAAATGTAAATAATTAAGTGCAAAACGGAATGCAACTAAGTAAAACAGTTAGACATATAGTTTAATTGGTATACGTGATGTCCCATCTTCGGTTAGCCGCCACTGCAACTCTTCGCCCGGCCTTCTGCCAACAATCCACGTTTAAGGCCATGTTACACGGTGCAATTTTTCTTGCAACTTGCAATGCAATCTTGATCGGATTCGTTCGGATTTCTGAGCATAGTATTTTAGCTTTTATTATATACATGATAAAATTACTGCAATCTGATTGGTTAAGAGGAGTGCAATTATTTCATTAATTATTTATCTTCTGTAATCAGTGGCAAATACTGCAATTTCATTGGTTTACAGGAGTGCGATTTGAGCATTAATCGCACATTTTCTGAGCTGTAATCGCACTCTTGTCTACAGCCAATGAAAATCAGTCTAGTATTTACAACTAGCCAATCAGCATTCAGGATACAAACTTTGAATTTTATTTTCTTTATTGCTGTAAAAAATTTCAAAATGGAGGAATTCACAAATTTTGACCTTTTAATTTTTAAATCAGCCCTCGAAAACCGTCAAAATTGAGGTCGGAAAAAAAAATGCCGACCTAAATCTGACCCTATCTCGGCATTTTTTAAAATCTGTTTCCATGTCTTGGAGCACTAGTAGCCTGCACTAGTAATCACGTATTTACGAATCATTGAAAAGTATAAATGTCACGAAGCCTTTTCTTTTAGAGTTTTACCTAAATTATAACATAAATATACCCGTTAATTCTTAAACCTTACACCAAAGTGTATCGAACTCTATAATCGCTGACTTTTTAACAGCTATAAGCACCAAAAAAGATTCTTATTTTGGCTGAATTAAGGTCGGCAAAACATTGCCGACCTGGGAGGTTGATAGGTCGGCATTTTAATTATAAACATACAAACATGGCTTCCCAATTGTGTGTTGAATAATTCAAACAAATGTTGTCATGTGGTTATACCGGAAATAATGCCCGGAAGTTAATAATATGTTAATTTGATTATATATGATAAATAATAATTCAAAATTGTACTATTTCAATAAGAATTGTCGTGACAAAAATTTAAAAATTATATTGAATTTCAACAAATTGTATTTTTCTGCTTTTCCTTAAACAGTTTGATCACAGAAGATAAATAATTAATAAGTAATAGAACGAATTAAGTCGTACTATTAATGCCATAATCATACTCGTGATTAACAAATCAACCTCCCGCTACGCGGTCGGTTGATTTTGTAATCACTCGTATGATTATGACATTAATAGCACTCCTATTCGTTCTATTACCATCATTAATTGCACTCTCCAGGAGTGCAATCAATGATTTTCGTGATTGCTGGGGGGAGCGGGAAATCAAAACAACAAAATCCAATATGGCGGCGAAATTAGATAAGTATTTCTAACAAATGTGGACAATTTAACTCAATTTTGGCACAAGAATGAGTTTAAGAAACATTGTATGGCAAAAAGAGCCTGTGGAAAATACCTGGAAACAGTCTTAAGAAATAATCTTGGCGGGATGCAGCGAAACGTGACTATGTAAGTTTGAAATACAATTTATAAAGATTTTCTTAGTCTAAAATATGTTGTTTGAGTTTGAATCTTGTGTTCTAGTTTAAGTTATGTGCCTTTATGAGTTTATAATCATTTCCCAAGTTTGTTTATACCAAATTGCTTACAAAAGAATTCAAAACTCTTGACAAAATGTAGTTGAAATATAAAGAAAGCGATTTTGTCATGCATATAATAAATAAATAATCATATTTGAAAAATGTGCCAAATTGCAATCGCCTCGGCGGCTCGTGCAATTTTGGCACATTTTTCAAATATCACTCGTAGTGTTAATCATTAATTGCACTCCTTCCCGTGTGATTACCTATACTAATTCGACAGAGAAGCTTAATATATTTAAGAATCACTTTATTTAAATTTCACAACAGCAGTAAGTTGTTTCATCAATGATTTATTAAATATAATGAGTGTAACCACCACACTTCTTGATAACTTCAAGGCATCATCTTCTCAGAATGAGAATGATGTGACCTGCGAACTCGCGAGATCTCAACCCAATTGAAATTTTTTGGGACCAGCAAAACCGATTTGTCTATCGTCGGTTCGAAGAATACAGCACTCTGGCTGACGTGGCTCAATTGTTGCAGGAAGAATGTGTGGCTATATCTCAACAGCGGGTGAGCAAACGATCCCTTGAGGTCACAGAGATGCGTGGTGGTTGCACCCATTGTGCAATCATTGAAGAAACATTATTACTGTTGTTGTGATTCATTCCTGTTAACTTTGAAATTGGGTATTATTGTATTCAATTGAGGCTAAGTCATTCTTTAAAGCACGAATGACCCCATTCTTCACACAGCATTAAAGCAAACTACCATGGGTCCGATTGGTGATAGGTTTGATTATCAGGTAATCAATCATTTACAATTTATGATGATATATTAAGGGGAATCTTTCTTTTTGTGTGGTGTTTTTATATACCTATCGATTTACAATATCGCACTAATACGACTGACCATTTACAGTAATTGGAGCCATAATTATTTCAAAGTCATGCGTAAATTACAGTACGGACTGTACAATAAATTATATCCGTGATTTCTGATTTCTGCAAATAAAACGTGATGCCAAATCGTTTGTGACAAAATAGAATTTGAACAATGTATATGATAAACCGTATATGTTCACTCCAAAAAAATTATGCATATAGCCATAGAGCGCATTCTTGTGTGCAAATTACTGACGGCACACTTTTGCCGCGTGTTTGATTCACATACCTTCTTGTATGTGCGTATATTTCATGGGAGAAAAAGGCTTGTTCGTGCATGTATATATATATATATATATATATATATATATATATATATATATATATATATATATATATATATAATGGGCCTCATCAGTGTAGTGCTGATGAGCAGGATGAAAGTAACTCTTATTTATAGTTACCTTTGATGCCTCACGATTGTGGGACATCAAAACCATGCCAGAGTGCTCAAACTGCAAACAGTGAGCGTGCGCAATGCGTAAGCAGCATGGCTCATCCTGTAGAGCGCTCAATATGACCTAAAGGCCATAGAGCGATATCTAACTACAGACAGTACCGTTTCGGTCTAATGGGCCTCATCAGTCTAGTGCTGATGAGCAGGATGAAAGTAACTCTTATTTATAGTTACCTTTGATGCCTCACGATTGTGGGACATCAAAACCATGCCAGAGCGCTCAAACTGCAAGCAGTGAGCGTGCGCAATGCGTAAGCGGCATGGCTCATCCTGTAGAGCGCTCAATATGACCTAAAGGCCATAGAGCGATATATATATATATATATATATATATATATATATATATATATATATATATATATATATATATATATGTATATATATATATATGTATATATATATATATATGTATATATATATATATATATATATAGCTTTCGTAAATGCTTTCTGCGCCCCAGCGACTAACATGGTAGGCTATAATGATATCCATATGTATCATTATATAGGAAAATCAAAAATAGACTCTCACGATATAAATATATTGTAATGAAAGCCCCAGGGGTTGTGTGGGTGACATTTGTTCAGCTGGACTAACAAATTTAGCTGTATATCATATCTTATTAGTCAATCGTTCAGTTAACGAGCTGTGCATGGGTGTAAATTTGGTTCAGACAGACAAACTTGGTTATATATATATGGTGATATTCAATCCTTATCTTTTTAATTAATTGAAAAAACGTAGCTTAAATGATGCATCAAAACTTAAGTTAATGAGTTATTGAACTGTCAATCTGTCATGCATGCATGTGTATATCTTAGATTAATCACGGTTATTCATCTTCTATTAACCGTGAATTAATTAAAATGAATAGGTGGTTTTCGTACATGCATATATATATATATATATATATATATATATATATATATATATATATATATATATATATATATATATATATATATATATATATATATATATATGGAGGGTATTATCCAGCGTGGTCGGATTTTTTAGGGCAGAGAATCGAGGAAGAGCCTGCCCGAAAGCCCGGATAAAATTTATCACCACCCATTTGACTTGAAATAGTTTTGTATAAATATTAATAATGACATAAAATGTCAATTGTTGCATATTTACTAGCCAGCGCTACAAAACAAGGGCAGATTTCGTTCTCGACCAATCAGCGCATTTGTTTACATTTTCAATCTCAGCTAATCACAATGCAGGAAACGAGAAATTTACACCAAGGCGAGCTAGAAAATATTGCTGTCTTCTCGGGCTTCCGTGAGATTCACTTTTAACTTTTTAAATTTAAAACCAAAAGATTATGATGTAGCACATTAAAATCTAAAACTTTGCCGTGGGCATTTTTAAATTTCGACCTTGAACGGAAAATATCCGTGTTTGAAATTTTTCTCTGTGTCGCGTATACAAATTTGAGTAATCTAATTTGACTGCAATAAACTAAAAATTGCTATATTTTCTCTGCTTTACGTTTTTGTTGGAAAACTCTTTTTCGCTCTTGTTGAGAATCATTTTGGTCAATGTATTATTTCATAGCCTAGGCTATAAGATAACGCGTTTAGAGAGTCTGACTTTCTGCAAAATCGGTCGGACAATATTTTTGTATTTACTATTGATTTCAATTCCCGTATGATCGCGAGCGTGCGACTATATTTTTTTAAATCAAGCGCTATAAACGCGTTATCGTCTAGGTTTTGATATAAAACATTGACCAAAACCGATTTGCAACAAGAGCGAAAAAGAGTTTTCCAACAAGAACTTAAAAGCAGAGAAAATATAGCAATTTTTAGTTTTATTGCAGTCAAATTAGATTACTCAAATTTGTTATACGCGACATAGGGAAAAATTTCAAACACGGATATTTTCCGTTCTAGGTCGAAATTTAAAAATGCCCACGGCAAAGTTTTAGATTTTAATGTGCTGCATCATAATCTTTTGGTTTTAAATTGAACTAAAATTAAAATTGAATCTCACGGAAGCCCGAGAAGACGGCAATATTTTCTAGCTCGCCTTGGTGTAAATTTCTCGTTTCCTGCATTATGATTAGCTGAGAGCAAAAATGTAAACAAATGCGCTGATTGGCCGAGCACGATATATATATACAGTTTTATATATATATATATATATATATATATATATATATATATATATATATATATATATATATATATATATATATATATATATATATATATATATATATATATATATAATATATATATATATATATATATATATATATATATATATATTATAATATATATATATATATATATACTTATATAGTATTTACTGCAATAATATAAGTTAGAGTAGTACAGCCATACATGAAGTGCAAAGCTAGCGTTTTGAACGATTTTCGTCTACTATAATTTCCAGACAAATGGAAGGGCCTTCACTCGAAATGCCGATGTTTTGCTTGTATTTCAGGCAGTTGAACCGCTATCAATCTATTAAAAAGTTTATTGAAAGCACTACGTTTGTAGCTACTATACTATGGCAATTCTTATACCTCTAGTGACCATATAAGTTTGATTATATGTTGTTTAAATTGCATTCGACGCGACCAAAATTCGACGTTTGTATATATAAAACAGGCTTTGTTCTGTTTAGATATACCTTTATATGTTATATACATTTTACACTTTGTCTTTTGAATTTAATATTTTATATTTTATATTTTAGCCTAGTCGAACAGGTTTAATTTTTTAAATTTTTATATTGCTGACAATATATATTAATGCGTGCAGCAATGCCCCGTTTGTAATTGTTTTTACCGTTTTTATTTATATAATTTTTAAATAAATTACCTTACATGTCCGGGTAGGCTCTTCCTCAATTTTACCTGTCCTTTCGTTCAGGCTCTTCCTTAATTCTTTAGTATAGCTAGAAGAGCCGGCAACACTGGCTAGAAGGCCATTTATATACACAAAAGCAAGGCCAGCGAGAACCAACCACGGGCCCCGGGACAAAATGACGATTGGTGAACACGGGCCCCCTGTCCCTATCGACTCTCCCGCTGACTATTTTTAATCGTAATCAACGAGAGAATTATCAGCGAATTACTTGCATGAAATCGCCGCATAACTGATAAAAACGCAATGTGAACGATGTTCAACTAACTATTTTTGCTGAGAAAACGATCGAAAAATTGTAAATTTCACATTTGGTACGTTTTACGATCGATGACGACGATCAGCGGATAGTGTGCAGGTAGGCGTATTTCATTTAGTACAACTGAACATAAAGCGATGATAAACAATACGAACATTTTACCGAGATTTCCGGACCCCTCTGAGCACTCCGGGCCCCGGGTATTTTGGCCCCCCTGCCACCCCTCTCGCCGGCCTTGCACAAAAGAATTGTATTATCGAGATTCTCAGCTCATATAACTTGCCCACGATTTCAGAGAGAACTAGACTGGCTGGTGCGTGAAGGTTTTTTCGATCACATACCAAAGGTGCATGCTAGCCTCTTAGGAGACAGAGTTTGCGGGACCGGTATGCTTCCCCAGGATATATTTATTGATTTGAGTCCACTGAGATCACTGTTCCTGCATTTGTAATCCTCCAATAATATGATACGTTCTACTCTGGCATTAAAATAATAATTTTTACAAGGACACACTTTACCTCGACGCCAAGGGCAACAGTCACCTGAAAATGTGAAACACATGCATGCAGACCGACTATATAGTTTGAGCACAAATACTAGTCAACAAGGAAAAGGCTTTATTGAATATTCGCTGAAGTTCAAAGTCTTTTTAAGGCAAAAATTGTTTCAAATAGGTATAATGGGGGCCGTCAATAACTTAATTTTGTCTAATGTGACAAATTCAAATATTTCAGTGCGGTATCCATAGATATCTTATATATACATGCACTAGATAGTACATCTAATTATTCTGCAATTCAAAAATTGAAGCCGTGATTGCAGGCTCAGGGTATTCCCATTAAATGAGAAGATTCGTATGTTTTCTATTTCTTAAACAGGGAACTTATAAACATTAAGTTAAACCTATTCCAAATACATTTTTAAACTATTCATGCAAATGATGAAAGTTATTGTTGCATGTTTAATTTAATTTTTTAAACGTTTATTAGCGAGTGGGACTCAAACAT